ATTTACTCTACTTTCTAATTAGTATTTATCAAAAAGACATATATTTGGGATATATTTGCAGTATTACTTTGTATAACTAAGGGATCCTTCAAGTAATTGTGTGCTGTAATATACTCGTCTTGTATGTTTCTATCCAATGTTGCCAGATGTTACTATTCGCCAAATATGTCACCGATTACAAATTGTCGATTTTACTTTGAGAATATGGATAGTGTCAGTCGATCGACATTTTGATAAACATTAGTAGTAGACATTATGACGAATGCGACATTTTTAATAGACATTCGAGAATAGGACCCCAGAGGGGCCCTAATCTCGAATGTCTATTTCTAAATGTCACACACGACATTGATGAAATATCGAATAAGAACGCAGAAACGTATTGAATGGCGAATTCGACATTTGTTGTTAGACATAAAGTCGAGTGGTATTTAACCAGTCGACACTGTAATGTCGCACGCCTTTTTAAATATAATATTTTGAGTGTCGTGACCACATACTTTGATTTTCTTTTACTATACGGAGAATGGTCGCACTGCGCAGCTTTCTGAGTGCCTTTTAAAAGGAGATAGAAAACTCCGCCATTTTGAACCCTTATTACGTGTTGCCTACATCTTGGCGCAATATTTTTAGTAGGTGCGTTTTAATAATCCGCTTCTGCTTCGGAATTGTCAGTTTTCTTGTTTTAATCTGACAGGTTAAAACGACTAAACCGACAATTCCGGAAGCAGAAGCGGATGATTAAAACGCACCTGATATTTTGCTTGCTGCTGTCAGTGTCAATGAATATTATTTTTGAAGTCACAGTTTATTGCTAAAGAATCAGTTAGCTTACTCGGACCAGTTGAACATTCCAAAATAACATCCACTCCAGGGATACAAATTCAGGATACGCAGAAGACTACTGTTTTATTATAGGCGGTTGTCATATATTGTATTATCTGAGTTGCACAGTGTATAAACTGAAACATTGAGATCCAAAGTGCCGACGCAGAGTGAGTGATCTGATTCTTTAGCTGTAAACTGTGTCACAGGGTTCAAAATAGTAATCAAAGTATGTGGTCGTGACAGTGACAGTTTATATTTATTTCTAAGAAAAATGAATATGGTCCAAGCGGTGGGCAAAAGGTCGGAAAGAAATAAAATTTGGTGGGGTGGTAGAGATGGGTCCCCTGATACTACACCTAAGTTTGCGACCTCGGCGGGTTGCCGCTCGAAGGGTGGAGGGATGAAAACTCTGCGTCGTGACGCTTTTTGAGAAATAGCGGTCTTGTGATAAGTGCTATCGAAAAAAGTTCATATGAAATATGTACAGGACAAAATCGTGCATAATTTTGACATTTTTTGTCTGCGATCAATAGTTCCCGCTCTACGACGCGCCAAAGTAGGGGGTTGATTTGCAATGTTCAACAAAATGAGAATTTCAGCGCGGATTAAGACGAACATAGCTATGAAACAATTATGTAATTTTTTTTTAAAGAGTAATGATTTCTGAGTCTGCAGATGCACGATTTGATACATATCATATATAATAAATGCTATGATGTTTTGAAGCGCGTCCCTACATACTCCGATATAAAGATTTTGTAATTATCAGAATCTACAGTAAATATTTCCCTACTATTGTTGACCTTGCATTGACGATAAACTGAAAGAATACCTACAGTACGAACTTGCGCCTTTTCCGCTTTCAATGTTTACTGAGGAAGGTATGCGCAAGGTGGCAACATCTTCACTGTACCAAGCTTATGTGCCTGTTACACCAGTAATAAAAGTTGACACAACTATTATACACGTTATTGACAGTGGCTTTTTGCTCCATCGTGTTGTGTGGGGCCATCACAATTCATTTGCAATGATTTGTGTGAATTACATTAACTATATTAAAGGCATTATGGGACGAATACAGTTGTTGCTTTTGATGGATTTCCCGAAAGTGGGACAGAAACAAGTACGAAATCTGCTGATAGAAACCGCCGCTTGAAGCAGCATTACTTCTCGCATACTCTTCGATGAATCCATGATTCCAACTGTATCGCAAGAACAATTTTTACCGAACAGCCTCATCGCATTGCTGCAAACAAAGTTGGAAGCACATAATTACAATGTTAAGCAGGCCATTGAAGACGCGGATTCATTAATTGTGCAGACTACCATCGAACTTGCTCCCTCTTTTTCCTCCGTATTCGTTATTGGTGAAGATGTACATTTTCTTGTGTTGTTGTCTGCTTAAGCCAGAGAGATCCCTAATCTTTATTTGCGCAAGCCGGGTAGCATATTTGTAAGTAGCAGACGCAACATAAAATCGTGAAATGACGAACTGCAATTTGTATGTAACAGACTTAGTACAACCAAAACTGCTAACACGTCTGCTACATTCGCGTGATTGCAATTTGTATGTAACAGACGTAGTACAACCAAAACTGCTAACACGTCTTCTACATACGCGTGATTAATTATTATAGCGCAAAACAAAGCACTGCTCTATTTGTCAATTCGTATTTTGTGGTCGTTCGTGCCAATTTAACCAAACACGTTTTTATTTATATCTGTCTAAAGAAAATAATATGAATGAAATAAGTGAGATTTGGTTTCCGAAGCTGTATGATTGGAAGGTAATTAATAAATCCACCTTCAAATTAAGAATTAAAACAAAAGAAGATGTAGAGGTATGTAAACAAAATTTCTGAGTTATGTTTTTGGGCGCTTAACGCTCTGATATGTATAAAAGCCAAAAGCCTGCCGAGGACTCTTTTTGGTAACGTTTTTTTGAGGAGCATGGAGATTATTTTATATTTTTTCGTGTATTAAAGGTGTGTTCCTTGGGTTTTAAACTGTAATTTATATTATTTTTTTGGTTGATAAGTATATTTAAAGCGTATAGTGAAAGGTTTAGCCATAAGGGCAGCGAGGACTTAAAAATTCATCAGACTCGTACAAAGTAATAATTATTGATAGACACATCATTAATTAAACTGAGAACAGAGGGATTTTCTTGCGTATGTGTATTCAAATCATATTCGTAGCAGTTTTGAATTCATCCATTCTTGCGTTGAAACGATGACGTCATTTTTCAAATGATTTGAAATTTTAGCTGTCAGTTTTAAAACCACGGGAAAGTTAGTTTTAAAATGTTATTCATGGTAAAAGTGGGGATAATTGTTAGCGCAATTTATAAATCTGTCACATTTGTCATTCTGTTTTGTTTTTCCAAAATTAAAATTGAGAATTGAGAATGTTTCAAGTAAATTTGGGCCGTTATAAGATCGTTGTAGATAGTGAAACTGTAGAAAGTTTGAAAGGTATGTATTATAACTAATATAGCTTCTGACAATAAATAGTTATTAAATATTTTAAGAGTGATTATAAATTACCCTTACAGATCCAAAGTATGCTGCTAATTACTTAAGGGAAGTAGAGAAACAAATAACAGGAGGAGTAACAAACCATAGAAAAATAATAAACTGAGAAGTGTTATAGATTTGACATGACTTTTTTACTAAACGGTACGTTCTGGCGCAATCTCAAATTTATGACGTTTTGACATATATGTTTCAAATTCATTTTTAAATATATTTCAACGCAAAAAAATCCCTCAGATATTGATTTATCACAAAAAATGCGATGTTGCCATGTAAAATATGCAGGGTTATCGTTCTTAAACCTGAGATTGGCTACTGCATTACTGCATTCAAATATTAAGGCGTTTCTTCAAAAAATAGGACTTCTACCATAGCAACTCGCCGCAAAGGAAATAAAATTCCTATTCAACCAACGTCAGTAGCAAGAAGAAAAATGGAAGGAAAAAATATCTTTTCTGAAAGAAAATCTTTTAGACACAGTGGAAAAAAAAGCAGCACATTCATTAAAAATGTGTGTAGAAAAAAACGTAGGGCTTGGTGATAATAAATTCCAAAAATAAGGTTTTTCTGTTTTTTTTTTTTTTTAATTTGTTGTTAGTAGTAATATTAATAAATTAGCCATTAAGTTTTTTAAAATCTCACTACCATCATAAATAATTTACTAAGAGATGTAAATAAATTAGTAAATTTTACTAAGCATCATTGTGTCTTTCTTATTCTTTTTAATCGGTTAGGTATCTGAAGGCATGATTTTTGATTTAATCGTTGTGTATGTAACAGACGCGTTACTAGTTTTAGTTGGAATACGTCTGCTACATACGAATTACTCTTCGGCAATTTCCGAATTTTAACAGATTGTATTCTGCGTCCGTTACATACAAATATGCAGCCGGGTAGAGGGAAAAAGGATGATGTGTTCTATTCGCCTCAGAGTTTACAATATAGCGATGCTGTAGCAAAAAGTATGTTATTTCTGCATGCCTTCAGTGGATGTGGCACTACATTGGCGTTGTTCAATCAAGGCAAAATTCGATTCCTCAGACATTTTATGTAATGCTTAAATTATAATATATTAATATATTTCTTCTTCTTACTATTTAATTTCTTACCAAATTGTACTTCCAATTTTTTATCTAATCCCTTATGAAATTTCAGTTAAAAAGATTATATTATATCTTCTCTACTTACTAGTTAGTATTTATCAAAAACATATATATTTGGTATATATTTTCAGTATTATTTTGTATTAGAGATCCGTTAAGTAATTCTCTGCTGTAATATTCTCGTATTGTATGTTTCTATCCAATGTTGTCAGATGTTACCATTCGAGAAATATGTCACCGATTTTAAAATGTCTATTTGTCTTTGAGAATACAGATAGTGTCAGTCGTTCGACATTTTGATAGACATTAATAGTAGACATTATGACGAATGCGACATTTTTAATAGACATTCGAGAATAGGGCCCCAGGTGTACAAATTTTTATTATTAACCCTTTCAAAATAACTTTAGGGCCATTCATATTTTTTGAAAGCCAAAGAAATATGTAGGTATTTATGTTCTGTGATGATGACGATGAATGCATTTTGATTGATTTTGACATTCATGACTTTTTTGTCATTTATTTATCAATTGAGGTAAAGTATCTTCCTATATTTCCCTAAGATTATGGAACACGATTCAACTTACCCTACAGCAGTATTTTGTATTATTGCCACGGAATTTTGTGAAAGATTTTCATTTTGTGGCTTAAGAAGTAAGTAAATTTATAAAATCTTTCTCTACCAGTGTTTTCATAAGTTAGACACATTTTGAAGTGATTTTAAAATTAAATATTTTCGGAAGATAATATTTTCATTAAAATGTTTTTTATTGCCTTAATGTTATAATAGAACAAACATATTTTTTTTTTTTTTTTAGCAATTCTGTCTTTATATTTAAGAAACATTCTCTTATTTTCTGAAAATGCTGCTACTGTTATCTACCATATATTTATTATGGTATGTTATATTATTCCAATGGTTGGAGCATTCTGTGCAGACATATATTTTGGTCGATACAGGTAAGTTAGAAACATTTTATTTTTATTTGTAATAAAAATATGGAGACAGGGATTTAAATTGTGTTATGCATGTCAGGATAGATGCACACATATGGAAAATACAATAAAGTTTATATTAAAACGATTTAACATGATTAAACTTAGAAGTAACAACAAAAATTTAGAAAAGTGTTCTATTTATTTAGGTTACTCACATAATATGTTTCAGCTGATATGAGATATTTTCTAATAATTATTCTAAATTTTGCAATTGATTTAATTCTTTGGGAAACAAATTAGGCAATGATCTACATATACAGTGTGTAACAAAAATAATTTTTGACAATAGGAAAAGCATCTATGGATCTTCTCTGTCTCGTCATTATTTTAGGTTTATCCCAGCTAGCATAAAAACATTCCATCTACGTTAATAAGCTGCAATTTTAGGCTCTTTAAGCTCACATGCAGTGTACTTTTAATGTAACCCTAATATCCATGCAACCGCCGAATGTCCGCAACGGCATGAATTTTATAGCACATCTAATAGAGGTTACAAAATGAAGTTCGGAAAACATCACACTAGCACTGTTACGGTACTTACCCCGAAAGTTGCTCTAAAACGTTTTATAGATGTTATAACGTTTTACAAATATACTTAGTTATGTAAATCCTTAGATACACTATATGTAAAATAGCGTATTGAGGATATAGTAAAATCTGAATAAAACCAAATAAAAATTTTATAAATTTATTATTAAAAAGCTTTTGAAATCAAGTACCAATATCAAACAAGTAGAGGTAAGTATTAATAATATAGGTAAATCACAAGGTAACACAATTACACATGTGTGATACCATAAGGTCGCTATAAAACACTGAATAATTGGACAAAAGTAGGTATAAAGGATATACTTAAGTTGGAACCATATAGAAAACATTTTTATTATTGATTTTAGGAAAAAAAGTTATTCTTGATAAAAAGTCCTGCATAACCCAAAACCTAAAATACAGTCATCACATATCAAAGTTTTCAAGCCGTATACGAGGTTTGTCAAAAAATATGAATTTTGCTCAAGAGTAAAGTACGTTTATTTTTGACAAAATCGAAAATTTTCATTAAGAAAAGTTGATTAGAATTGAATATTACATTCAAATATGCAATTACACCGATCTATCTGAAAAAACAGATTTTCTTATTTTTTATGAACTCTACACTCTACACATTGATTGTAAATATCTGAAAACGTTATAAATTACGTTAGCTACTATAAACATGATACGATTTCCTTTTGTTGATGTTTGTGAAGAATTTAGCAAATTTCTTAATAAAAATTTTCGATTTTGTAAAAAAATAAACGTACTTTACTCTTGAGCAAAATTCATATTTTTTGACAAATCTTGTATACGGCTTGAAAAATTTGATATCTGATGACTGTATTTTAAGTTTTGGGTTATGAAGGACTTTTTATCAAGAATAAATTTTTTTCCTAAAATCAATAATAAAAATGTTTTCCATATGGTTCCAACTTAAGAAATATCTCAAACACTTAATTTACTGAAACGTAACAAATTTAAATGTTATTTATCTTTAGTGAACTACATGACCACTTCTATACTGCCTTCCTAGCAAGAAAGGTTCTATCTGTAAAATTGGCAGTTTTTTTTATTTATTTGTATTTGTCTACATTTTATTTACCTTGATACCGAAACGGAATGTCTTATTTGCATCAAAGGTATTAAAATGTTAAAAAGTTACATAAAAAAGGTTTAAAAGATAATAAATATGTCTGCTAAAAATAGTTAAAAACTCGATTATTTAGAAACAACAAATTTTCAAATAGGACCTTTCTTGCTAGGACGGCGGTATATGACTTCTCTGTTTTTGTATTTTTATAGTTGGGAGTAGGGCACGGTGGACTATAAGGTGCATCAACTCCTATTTAAAAACAAATGAAAACGGCGATAAAACCGATCGTACTTCCTAGCCAAAATCCGCTAGGTTCGCTAGTATCTATCCGGCGAGAAAGTAAATAAAAGATAAAAGTAGGAGCTGCAATTTAAAAAGTGTCGACAGATAAATATTTTTTAAAATCTTAAAATATATAAATCATGGTGGATCGTTGTGCTGTTTTTAATTGTGATTATGGGAGAGAGTCTTCAAAATATTAATAGCAGTTTTATAATGCCAAAAAATAGTTATACAGAATATGGTGCAAATTATTGGTGGTATGAAAATAAACATTAAACCCAAAAGTTCCATTTGTGAAAAACATTTTAATGCAAATTATGTTATCCGTGAAAAAGTGCTAAGAAATCTACTAGGAAACGTTATTTTTCAAGTAAATATGTTTAATGTCTACGTTTTAAATGATTGTAGGTTATGTAAATAGGTTATTCAACTTTGTCTTTTTTGTAATAAAAATAATTATTAGTATAAAGTTTTATTATATAAATATTTCGTATTATTTATCCTGTCTCCTTGGTACTAATAATGTTATGACTTGGACCCTATTATAATGTGTTCATGATATAAATTTCATATACACAAGGTACCTATTTCTTTTGATATTTTTCTAACCCTGCGAATAAATAAAATCTTTGACTTATTCCTTTTAGCCTGATTATAATGCTAGAAAGTTGTATCTGGTTATAAGAATCAAATAGATACTATGATAAATTTATTTTACTTGTAGCCTTTTTATTTTTAAGTGTTCAAATATACATTTGTTTAATAATAATCATCCCCAAATGTGTTTTGTTCCAGTTCTTTAAATGTATTTACTAGGTTTTTATAGAAGTGCTGATTTTAAATTAATAAAAATTTGAGCTGTAAGAAATATTTAAGATTTTTCAATTCTGTATTTTTCGTATTTTTATAGGAGTTAATAATCCCTTTAAGTAAATAAATGTAGTTCGGGGTCGTAGATGTTGGTAATTTGTGTATTGAATAATTTGTACATACACTGGTTAATAATTTAAACAATGTTTTTTCTGATGTACCTAATAATTATTTAAGGTTATCTTGTAGTTGAGGAGTCTAGAAATCCGCATATTCACACCACTCTGAAGTCTAGAATTTGACACAAATTTGAAGTTAAAAATAACGATCGTATTACTTGAAAATCTACAGATTTTTTTTAATTTTTAATCGATGTAAAAATTGGTAAATACATGATAAAAAGTAAAAGTTATTTCAAATAATTAAATATAACTTTGCAACTATATGTTACGATTCCAACTATCAGAACTAGCCAGAACAAGAATGGTGCATTTCCAGACCCTTCAATTATAAGATTACCATTATTTAATGTGCAGCGCAAATATAAAAAAAAACTACCTAAAAAATGCTGTTCCTGCTTTTATTACTTATGATGGGACTACTTCTCAAAGGAGACAAGAATGTGGAAAGTATTGCTGATACACTTACCGAAGTTATCCACTGGGGGTGAAGTGTTAATCTTTTAGGAATATAGGAAATATTTTTTTATATCTAACAACTTAATATTTATTTATTGATAAGTTATATATACTATGTATTTGAAATTCGAAGTAATCATTATGACAGCAGTGTTCTTCTTATTGTATTCGAATAAAACATCTCATTAAATTTTTGTTAAAATTATTAATTTATTAATTTTACATTAGAAAGAAAATTAACAATACACACAAAATTATTTAAAATTAGAAATAAATACAATTTAAACATTTCCCATTATTACACTTTTACTTACTTAATTTATTCATTTCTTATATTAACAATTTAAATTAATAATAAAGTTCATTATTTAATTGGAACTCATTTTATAATTTTACTAATTATTTTTTTATATTTATTTGTGGAAAATTAAATATTAAATAAAAGCATAGGAATTGTTCTATTAGATAATAGCAGTAATGAAAAAATAAGTAAAAAAATTTCAAATGTATAGTTTCCAGATTTATTATGAGTTTTTCATATTAATGTAGTCAATAAGTAGGTTTATTATGTTCGCTTGTACACATCACAGTTAGCAGCAGACAGTAACAAACCTGATAACACTTCCGATTTCAGAAAAACATTACAACAATTTGTTTTACATTATATATTTCAATAATGTAATATAATAATCATTTATATTTAATTAATGACAAGGTTTACTTTTTAAATAAAACTATATGAGCCCTGTCCCGTTTCAATTAGCACACTTCTCAAATTCTGTCACTACAAGAACAAATCATACATAAATCTGATAAATTAATTTTATTTTTTTAACCCTTTCACTTCCACTTTCATTAAAAAAAATACCATTGTAGTACCTAGATTGTATGTTTTCTTTGTTTATTTTAAGTAAATTAAAAAATTTTCATGGTATTTTTTATTACTCCAAGACATAACGTCCCTGTTCAGGGACATTACAAAAACAAAAATTTACTATGAAAATAATTTTTTTATAATATTAATCCTTAAAAGTAATGCAAATAAAGTAAATAAACCAAAAAGAAAAAATTTCTACCAAAATTAACAGATGTATACTTCAGGGTTAATTAAGACAGTGTCCCTCTGGAGGGACAAATACACTGAAAGGGTTAAATATTTACAAATTTTCATGAGTGTTTCATCTCCTTTAACTTTGATAACGGCAATAATTCATTAAAACATTGTATTTACAAGTTCTTGAAAATCTTACGTGCAGGGAACCTACTCCATATTTCTAGATTGCCCATTTGCTTTAATTCTGGCAGTGATCTTGTGGGTGCTGCACGCCTCTGCTTAAAAATTATCACCCCATATACAAAAAAGCATCTTTATTAAATGAACAAGAAACTAAAAAAAATAAGCATTATTAAAAACTACAAAAAGTGCATAATTTGAAAATCCATATTCAAGCTTGAGATTTGTAAAATTAAAAAAATTCCAAATACACATTTAACTTGTTCAATTATGTATTGAATAAAAGGTCTGTTCCAACAATGATCAGAAACAAACCACTGGGTAGTACACAATTTTGCGGTATCGATAAACTACTGTGCAGAATCCTGAT